CTAGGAATGTCTGACTGGGGAGTTGACACAAGGTATAAATTCACCCCTTACCTTGTTGTCTGCATGAGGAAGTTAAAATCCCCCCAGTAAATTCAACCATCTTTGCTAAATTAAGATTTTGTCTGAGAAATAAGAATGTCGAGACAGCTTAGTCTAGGAAAAAATATTAAGAAGTAAATGTGTGTGTGTATTTATATACACATATATTTACTGTGTATGTATATACACACGTTTTGTATGTACATACAAAAACTCACTTCCAGAGGAGTTTGTATTCTTAAGTATGGTTTACAAACATTGAGCTAACATAAGTAAATATGCAGTTTTACAAATAATTTATCTGGTATTTTGAAACTCGATTTTTGAGGCTCACTTCTTAAGGAGGAAAAAATGGATATTTGTTGCTTTGTAGCCCAGGCAGGAATAACTGAGCCAATGTTTGGACAAGTCCTGTGTCCCAAGAAAGTAAATTCCTGTAAAGGATAAAACATATAATGCTTTCTAGGACTCTTATGGATTGTTGGAAAATGTTATATATTGAATTTTTTTTTTTTATATCTATACAGGAAATGTGCATTCCTTGAGTAGAAAGTATAGTTGAGTTCAGGACTCCATTTAGACATTAGTCATTTTAATCTGTCATCTATTTCTGGAATAAAGCTCTGCGTATACAGTTGTATGACATCTTAAATGACCACAGGGGTTTCAGAACTGGGCATGTAATCAGTGAAGATGCATCTTAGCTAAGGAAGCTGTAAACCATCCTTGGTCCTTCCAGTGGAGAGTAAAATGAGCCAGTGGCTGTGGGTGCATCTGTTGCTTGCTGCTGTGGGTCCAAGGAAAAAAGCCCTTGGGGTCAGTGCTGGCATGCAAGCCACGTTTGCTGTGTTTCTTGGTCATTAAAGTTCAAGACCTAGTAAGGTAACGTGTGTTAAACTGTCTGTAACATTACCTTCTATTTGATGCTGTTTGTAATCAGAGATGTTCCTTAACCATGGTGTGTATGTATGTGCACACTTTTCTGCTTTTGTCTCACGAGTATCTCATACCATATGGTGGGGCAGTCACATTAATTTAGTATTAGTAAAGAGCTTCCAACTGATAGGTAGCTGGAGTTTTGCCTCTGAAGATTTCTAAGTTGATGTCATTTTCCGCTAGAATTGCCAGATAGAGTTCCCACAAGACAGTGTGTTCCAGCTGTCAGTAAGAACTTGATCTTCTGGGGTTGATCTCCCAGATGGTCGCAAATATACAGATGTCATCAACAATATATGTTGTGAGCTTCTCTTCTCTACTTCTGTTTGGGTTTTGTTTGTGCAACATATAATCAGCTAGTTTAACATTTATATGGAGATAGGGCATTGAGAAAGGAGTTCCTACGAAAAGATGTCAAATACACTATTCATCAACTTTTATTGCTCATGTAAATACCAATTTAAAGTGTATCTAAATGTTTTTTGATAGGTCAACCAAGGCTTTTTCTAGACTTTTCACAGTCCTATCAAATTATCATTATTAAAAGGGATTGTCTGAAAGCCAGCAATCATTTGTTTACTTTCATTCATAGGGAAATCTTATCAAGAAATCTGTAAATACCTCCAAAATATAGTGAAAGGATAATGTTATTTGTGTATGAGTTTTGAAGTAAAATCAAATGTCTGAATTAGTGGCTGTTTCTTGAGTCACAGAGTTCTGGAATGAAAATAGCATTGATTAGATAATGCAGCTTTTAAAATGCAAATGTATTGTGGATATGTTTGAAAAGGATATAACTCAAAACCAGCTTTGAATTGTTCCCTTATGTTTTTAATTTATGGAATTCTTTACTGCAGGCTCGAATCAATGCCAGGCTACAGCAGTATCGTGCCAAGGCAGAGTTGGCTCGCACCACCAGACCTCAGGCCTGGGTTCCCAGGGAGAAGCTACCAAGACCACTTACGAGCAGTGCTTCAGCCATACGCAAGCTTATGCGCAAAGCTGAGTTGATGGGAATTAGTACAGACATTTTTCCAGTGGATACTTCAGATACAAGTTCCAGTGTTGATGGAAGAAGAAAACATAAACAGCCAGCTCTCACTGCTGATTTTGTGAATTATTACCTTGGTAAGAATGAAAATGGCATATTTTTCTCAATGAAAAATTATCACTTTGCTGTATCTGTACTGGGCTGATTCGTTGCCATTTTGATTTTACTTGTATTTCTTTGTCACTGGTAGATAAATATTAGTTATTACTTCATTTTAGATCAGGTATATTATTGCTTAGTATCTGTATGTACACAGAAAGTGAACTTTCTAAAAAAAGACATTTCAGAAAAGAAAAACTTTGAAATGTAAACAAGGGGCCATGTCTTTGCTAAGAAGGGATTGGAAGCTTAGGTAACTTTGCCATTTATTTTCCTACGTTTTCCTCCCTCACTGTGCGGAATGGCTTGATTTTTGTCTTTGGGACTGTTTGCTAGTTGACTAATCAAAGCTCACCATTTAAATAACTACACTAGTTAAGCAGCAGAAAGTAAATGTTGTGATGGTTCATTCCACTCAATCTGTGTAGTAAACCTATAGGCTATGGTTTTCAATTTTTGTATTGTTACGGTTTTATGGTTTTCATTGCTTCACTTTTTTCAGTGCACAAAACTTGAAAATAATGCAATTTTCTTTTAAATAGAGAGAAATATGCGTATGATTCAAATCCAGGAGAATATGGCTGAACAGAAGAATATCAAGGATAAATTAGAAAATGAGCAAGAAAAGCTTCACGTGGAGTATAATAAGGTGAAGAAAAAGAGATAATGCAAACCATTATTTCTTTAAAAGTAGTATTTAAAAACAGATTTCTTCTTTTAAAAATATTCCGTAGTCTGTCCCCCCCATTCAAGCAGAGTTCAGCTGATGTCCTATGTTGGCTGGGCACGAGTTCTTTAACTGAACCCACTGAGAGCTCCAGTAACGCACTTCAAGACATCAGAGTTTAACTCTGCTCTTTCTCTGTGGTTTTTTGTTTTGTTTTGTTTTCCTTGTGTTTGGTTCTAGGTTCTTTTTGAACCTCCTTGATTCTCTGCTTGGAACCCTACTTGGTAATTGGGAATCTGGGATTGTCAGTGTATCATTTATTTGTTTATTTATTTTTGCCAACTCCAACTCCAGTTGTTTTCATCCTAGATGTAATGATTTGGCTAATTTTTCAGGCTGAAATAATCAGTATTCACATGTCGATAGTGTCTTCTGAGTATTTTGTTTGAGTATAGGAAATTTGGGGCCCATAAATGATGGCACTGCTCCCCCAAAATGTTGCTAGTGTAATTTTTTTATTAACTTATTATCATGCTTTAAAAAAACATTTTGTGTTTCAATTGCATTTTTTACTAAATATTTATTTAGTTAGTTTTGATCTTTAAATATTTTGAAATGAAACATAGAAGTGCTGTATCTCTTGTGACAGATGACATCCTGCAATTCTTGCTGAATTCAACAACCTATCAAGTGATGGTTAGTGATGACAAAAATAGTGTTGCTATTAATTCTTAAACTGTTGAGTGTGTGTTTTAAATGAGAACACACAGAAATGAAGCAGCAGGTTCTTGTGAAATACCCAAAGGTGATAAAAAGGAAGGAGATTGTGTGTGGGGCGTTTAACCAAATTAATAGGTTGTAGATGCTGTGTGGTAACAAACAGTTACTTCCAGAAGGAAAAAAAACCCTTTTTTTCTGTTTGCATACTTTAATAAATTGTATCTCTTCCTATGTGAGTGAGTGAATGTTCTTTGGTAATGCAATATAGAGCTTTAATTCGTTTATGTGGCTACTTGTTATAATCTTGCTGCTTAAGTAGTATGGACAACATGTACAAGATGTTGCTGTATTTTAGTTTTGCTTTCTAATTGACTTTGAAACCTTATTTTCATGCTGAAATGCTTCAGATGTTCTTTACAAAACAGGTGGCTGCCCAGGTTTTAATCTTAGTTCCATTAAATTGCTGAATGATTTCACTGGTCTCAGCTATATTGACACGAGTTCCATTGTTTCTTAATCCCATAATAAAGTAATGCACTCTAGATAGGTAAGAGGTTGAATAAAGCTCTTGCTCTTGATGGATTTTCATTGCTGTTGATTTTTTTTTTTTTCTTTAACTTTTCAGCTGTGTGAATCCTTGGAAGAGCTTCAAAATATGAATGGAAAACTGAGAAATGAAGGGCAAAGCATTTGGGCCCTGCTGGGTAGAATCATTGGACAGGTTGGTTGTTTCCCGCCCCCGCCGCCCTTTATAGGTCATAGGCAGGCCTGATTTTCCAAGAATAGGCCTTTTTGTTTCTATTTGTCTCTTCTATGGCCAAATAAATGGATTTGATCAGATCAGGTTTTACTCTGGGGATAATGTTTCCTGATTGAAATATCTCGACTTCTGCAAACCACCTACTGGGAACCTTTAGCTTAATTTTGTTGTTGTATAGCAATCTGGATTGCAAAATTCTTTCATTTGGCATAACTGATTGACCTGTCATTTATGATGAACCTTAACGTGAAGCATAAGTTAATCCTACCATTTTTTTTCTCCACATTGTTGTTAGTTACTGCAGGCTTCAAATGATACAATAACTCTTTATGGCTTTTATAAGATATAAATATTAAAAACTGTAGTATGTATGTGATAGTTTTTAACTAGACAGAGCAGAAAATTTTGGTCAAAGGAATACAAATATCTAGGAGAAAAGAAGGTTTGGTTTACTTCCTGTGGCCAGCAATTACCATTTTTCTCATTGATACACATGGAGAAAAGAGAGTATAGATTCTTACTGTGTTTTAGTATATACTTTGTCAGAGGTATTAAATGGCAATGGAAACTTTAGATGTCAGAGAGAGGTTGAAATGATTTCCAGTTATGATTTTAAAGAAGATTGAAGAAACTGTTTATTGTGAAAATGCAGACATACAATTAGGTCACAATTTTGTCATGCCCTTTGGGGCAAACTGCTAAGTCTGTGCTGTTCAGAAAATAAAGCTTACCCTTTCTTTATGGACTAGTAGTTCTTAAGGTATGCTAGTGTCTTCTACCTCTATTTGTCCACCTATTTTTTGTACTTTTGAAGAAGGATTCTCTCATAACATATCTCTTGAATCAAGATTATTTTTTTTCCTGCTCCTTTTTAAGATGGCTTTGAATAAGTATTCACAAATGTATTTCCTGGTGCAAATGTTACTAAATTTAAAAAAAAGATGGAGAAGTTAAGTAGAATTCATTTGCACAGCTTGCATGACTTTTTTTTCCAGTTGGTTGAACAGATGCAGACCCACGGGGCTGCTGAGAAATGACTTTGATAGATGGTTGCTGTCTGAGGAGCTAGCATACTGCAGATTAGCAGAAACCCGAAGAGAATCTTGTCTTCTTAGTGGAGGGTTTGGTCCAATAAGATAATTTTTCTAATTAACCTATTGTGCACCTATGTAGCAGGGTTGTTGGGGAAAATAAACTGCCCAAGTATTCTTCTGTCAATTTAGTGAATTTGCCTTTGCTTATTTTGCCTGCCTAGACAAATGCATCTTTGTCCATACCTGTATTCAAAGCTTGAAGAAAAAAATTAAAAGCTGGTATTTCAATGTGTTTTTTATTTATTAAATTGAAAAAAAAAAAAAAAGAGTATAAAATTACTTTGTCCCAGTATGATTTTGTAATATAAAAATCTGTAGTTGCTCTTGTCTGCAAAATAGCTAGCTAAGCAATTTCCCACTCATAATTTGAGTATTATTCTTCGTGCATTGAGATTGGAGTGGTATTCTCTAAAAGCCTCAAGACTAATGTAAACTGCATTTGTTCAAATCCATTAGAAATTGAACATACCAGCAATTTTACGTGCTCCTAAGGAAAGGAAACCAAGTAAAAAGGAAGGAGGAACACAAAAGACATCTGCACTTCCGGCCGTCCTTTATAGGCAAGTAATGAAGTCTTGACAGAATAGACACAATATCCAGTAAGATACAGTTTCGCAAAAGTGTTAAGAGAAAATTTCTTGCTTCAGTTTTGATTAATAAAATGCTTTAGAGTTGTCTATATATTTTACTTACTTCTGAAGGCTAAGTTGAATAGTAGTCGATTCTTCACCTTAGCACACATCAGTAAGATTTGAGATTTTTTTGCTAATTTGACAGCAGTGCTTTAAGGACAGAGGTAACTCTTTACAGCTAAAATAGAAGGGTCCTTTGTCTCTGTGATGTGAAATTTTTTGACTGATCCTATTGTCTTTTGAATGCAGTCTTCTGCGTTGGTGATTTTTGTGATCAGTGCTGCTGTTCAGTCACGGTGGCTGGGTGCATAAAACACTTGTCATATAAGAATTTTTAAATTTTTTTTTTTGCTCGTGGGTTGTCAAGTGCTTTGGGATACCTTGTGTTTTAAATTTCCCTTCTGTTAATTCCCAAGAAAATAAAATGTATTCACTTACTCCGTCATTTTTCTACCTTTTCCCCTCTTCTGTAATTTGTGAAGCTACTGACTGAGTTTTAACTAAGCTTAACAGTGGAACATATACGAGGATCCCAGAGCATGACTGTGCAAAATACACATATCATCTTGCATGTTCTTCTCTTGCCACCAGCTGAGAAGTGGCACAGTCTGTTGCTTATCTGTCTAGAGAGCAGCAACCAGGCCTCCAGCCACAGCAGGTGGACAGTATCTTGCCCACCTAGCACACTAAATGAAGAAGATGGTTTACATAAGCAAAAGTTAATTCTAGTGCTGTGAGAGGTGGAAATCTGGAGAACATGACAGTAGGCTGAGGATTTGGCAATTTAGATGTATACACAAACAAATAATAGGAGTCATGCTTTACTAGTTCTGTTTCATTCAAATCCAATCATTTTAGTTCCTCCTGTTTTAAATAATGGAATTAATGAACACCTGATCTTTTTGAAATAACTGAAATTTTAATTCCAGTAAAATAATAATAATAAAAAGGAAATGTAATTTCTTATGAGTTGATACATTGCCCAACATAATGGCAGCACAGACCTATTTCAGGATGCTTGTATTATTAAAATAATAATAAGCATATGATTGTTAAGACTGATAGTAGCAGCATAATTTTCTATTAAGAGTTTAGATGGCACAGGTAGTATTTTTTCCATTTGCCACTGGTACATTGTGTTGAAATATCAAGTGATTACTTACCGGTTAGAAGCCCTCAAAAATTTTGATTGAAAGCCTTCTTATCATTAAGTTAACTATATTAGGTGCCTTTTATGCTTTAATGTATATAAGTAGAAACTCCTTATAAAGTAATTATACACTTAAATGATACATTCAAATTGAAGTTGCCACGTTTGTATTGAAACTGGGGAATGTGCTGGGATGTATCGTTTGTTCTTTATAATTTCAAATGTAATTATAATGCTTTTCTGCTACCTACATCAAAAGTTGTGGAATTTGCAAGAAGAACCATGATCAACACCTACTGCTACTATGTGATACTTGTAAACTCCATTATCATCTTGGTTGCCTGGATCCACCTCTTACAAGAATGCCAAGGAAGACCAAGAACAGTTACTGGTAAGAATGCAATTGATGTGTTGTCTTGTGGTATCTCTGTACTTAAAGTAGGACATTAACTTGAACAGACTTGCAAATTCTGAGTGTTTTAGACATTGCTATAATGCAATCTGAACTGAGTTATTTTATTTTCAGGTTATTAGCAGTGATATTTCAAGGTTAAAAAAAAACAAAAAACAAACACAAACTGTAAAGATTTTCTTATGATTAACCACTGGGTAGAAACAGATTATAGTTTTATTTTTCTTACCTTTTGAATTAATTTGTTATTAGTAATGCTGCTATATAACAATGGTAGGAAACTATAGGCTGACTTCGGGAAATGAAGGACTTAGGTCTCCTGTTTATCTTAGGACCCAGAAATGCAACTGTGTCCAGATCTTTAGGAAAATACTTGTAAATATTTAAAAATAAACTTAAAAGTAGTAGATCAGTTTATTGCAATATGGGAAATAAGTTGGGTTTACTTCTGTCTTATGACTTAAATCTGCAGTGGAAGAAGCACATGCACTTACATTTCCATGAATTAAAATTCTTTTCATGCCAGTGGAGCAGAACATAAGCGAAGTGGTACAATGGAGAACTGATAACGTGGTAAAGGTGCTGATTTCCAGACTGTCATAAAATTAGTGTGCTGCTGTGTTGTGTTAGTGTTCCGCGTGTTTCTAAACTGCTCTGACATGTGTTGGAAGCAGTTATTCAGAAGCAATTTTTATCTGGCAAGAAGTTAGTGTACAGCATCTCCAGGAATCATTATCACCTTGTCTGAACGTTAAGGTACCAACTCAGAGCAGTATAAGAATTCCTTCTAAAAATACAGTAAAACTGTTTTAATTGAGAAAACTTGTTTTCTGTTTTTCTTCATATGTATCTTTTTTTTATTTTTCATAAACTTCTATAAAACTTTTACTTAAGTAATCTTCTTTGGGTTGTTTTAATGATTGTGTGCCGAGCAAGATGGCCAGTACATGAAATGGGAGGTGTCTTTTTTTTTTTTTCTTAACATGACAAAACCTGGATTTACACCAATAAACTTAGTAAATTAATAGAGATTTTCTTTAAAAGCTCAAAGATTTCCACCATCACTAATATTTTCCTGAACTTAATTTTCCTTTAATTATTTAATGTAGTCTGTGGTTTTGGACCTTTCGTTATTTCACGGGCATTCTGAGCTCTTTGGTCAAGTTTACCAACTAGTTACGTTACATGGAATCATTTTTAAAAAAATATTTTTTGGTAGGTTCTTCATTTGCAAAGTAAGTTCTTGATTTTTAGTCTACTCTTTAACCAAGTTGAAAAGGCTCACTAAAAGACACCAGTCCAAAAGATGTAAGACTACAATTCTCAGTAGGTGTTAAAGGCAGAAGAGGTCAGGTTAGGTGGTAAAATGCTTTTATTTCAAAGCTGTAACTTATCTTTGTTGTGAATTCCGTGCTTCAATTATATCTCAGATCACAAACTTAGTTTTTACTCCTAATAAGCTAAAGCATATTCTGGAGTGTGAGATTATAGCAGACAAATTGAGCTGTATTGATTGAATTCTTTTCATCATTGAACTTGCCTTTACATATTCTTTTCAGGATCAGGAGAGAGCATGTAGAACAGACCCTTAATCTAAGTTTGAGTTCAGTTTTTTTTCTCCCCCTGCTGTTTTGAATACAATTTTAATCTTTTGATTAAGCTATTAAGAAAAGTGCATTTTTTCTATACAAGAGCCGTGTACTTTTCAGATATTTATATAGGATGTAATGGGAACCTGTGCAAAAAGATAAAGTAAGAAAATAGGTATAGTGGGAAATTCCTTGAAATGTTAGACAGATTGACAGACTTTAAATAAGGTGGCTAAAAATGTTTGTTGACCGTAGTCCTCTTTTAAAATAGTAAGCAGGAAACAGTTGAAAGTAATTGTTTGTTAATTTTTACTTTCTATTCCATTATCACTGCTAAACATTTACTTAAAAAGGCTCAAGTTAGTAATTATAAAAGGTTTGATGATTAGAGTCATATACTTTATCAATACATATTTATTTAAACTTTAGGTAGTTTGGCATGAGTTTATTCCATATGCTTCATATTTTATACTATATTTGAGGATTCCAAATGATTCAGCTTATGTGTGTGATCCCACAGAGGTTAGTTAATAGTTATACTTCTTGTTAATTTAATGCTCAGCCTTTAATAGAAATTTAAATTACAGTATACAAAAAAGGATTTTGAAATTGTTTAACTAAATCCACTATTACATGGTAATGGTAAGAAATTTTATATATATATATATTTAAAAGCTAATTTGTTAAAGCATGAATTATAATTAGTTATATCAATGTTTCTAAACATTAAAAGGAGGTAATGATTTTAGTCTTAGTGAAATCATAATAAGACTTTAGACCTGGTGAGCACCAGTGTTTCACAGCTTATTAGAAACTGGTTTCAAGCACTTAACACAAAGAATTTCCCCCATTTGGAGGCCTGACAGTTTTCTCTAAGGTAAACATTTATATACCTTTAATATTTTAGAAAGAAATTGAACTTACTATGTTAAAACCAAAGCCTGTCCTCATTTCAAATTGATTTATTTTGAGAGGAAGAGAATAACAACTATTTCACGTAATAAAACATGAATTTCTGTCTGTTTTGATGTGGTGCTTTCAGAGTAGACCAACAATTCTAATCATAGAGTAAAATGCTGTGACATACTTTTATTTAAAAATTTGGAAATTTTCAATTTCTTAGAATTCCTGTTGATTAAACACTGAAATATTCTTTTGATTCAGATGTTATCATAAAATTAAGTCTTGTCGCTCTCTGTCAACTTGTGTGCTTTTATGCTCCTGCCCTTTCTGATGGACTAGGAACTACGTGTTTTCCTGGTAGAGAAGGATCTGAACTGACAAAAAAGCAATGCACAAGTGTTGACAGACATTGTTAAGTGAATTAAAATCTGATTGTAAAATATTGACATTTTCATTAAGAAAATACTTGGCAGCTACCAACATGGACTAATTATTTTCTATTGAAATGAGATTGCTGAAGAACAGTGATAACTTCTGGTAGCATGTGAAATTCTGGGGACTGAGATGAACCAAACAAAGACTAATGATCATACTAGGCTTTGTGATTTTTATTTTTGTTCTGGAAGACCATGTTATTTTAGTGGTAACTCTGCTGTGAAGAGTATTTGCCACAGGACATAATAGGCTTTGTGATTTTTATTTTTGTTCTGGAAGGCCATGTTATTTTAGTGGTAACTAAAATAGTGGTATTTTAGAGCTGTGGAGTTCCTGATCAGTAGTCCCTT